GATAATAATAGTTCAATTTTATTACAAAATTTAGGACAAATCCTTCCTTCTAAATTAGAATATTTAGATTTGACTCTCTACATTAAAGTAAGTGATTTTAAAGTATTCCTAAAAAATTCCCAAGGTACTTTTATTAAGAAATTGTTAATTAGAGATTTAAAACAGAAAGTTAATTGTGATCTTTTACCTCATTTAAAAAAATATATAATGAAGGAGAAAAGAGTCAGGTATTTGAATTTTAGGAATCTTCATAAGGAATTGTTTGATTATAGAGATATAGTGAAGGAATTTAAGTCACATAATATTAGAGTTCAAAAATACAATGATTTACACTTCGACATGTATCAACTTATGCAGAAACTTGATTGATTATTTAATTATCATTTAATAAAGCTTCTTTATATGTTTATTTATTCTAGATAATCATATATTTATTATTGATTAATATTACTAACAACTTTATATTAAGATCCAAATAAAAAATTTGTCTAAATAATTTGAATTATATAATATAAAACCAGTGCCCCCACATTATATAATTTATGTTACAGTATTTATGAAATAATGATTTTTTTCATTTATTCATTTTTTTTTTTTTTTATTAAACTATATATTTTATTCTCTTACTAAATATAACTTTATTAGTAGAAATCGTAACTGTGTCAAATCACATGATTATTCCACTGTTTTTGTGCGTCATTATTGAACGTCATACAACGCGTTGTAAGTGAAAAAAGTATTATCACTACGCTTTTTCAATTCACTGTAAAAATGGTTTTACTATGCCATTTATGTTATTGTAAACACACAACTAATGCACTGTATATTATATTGCAATAGCACATACTATACAACAAAGTTACAACACAAGGTGTATACGATATGTATTACATTGCTACAACAAGGTCACGACACGGCATAAATTACTATTATGCTACACTTTAGACGTTTTTACCGGTATCAACTGAAAGCTATACATCTCCGTCAATGACTTGAAGAAGTTCATCCAAAGTTATCCATAACAATCATTATAGAGTTAGTTACACCATCAATATCTGTCGATACAAGTCTCTGTTGAAACCTAATATCATGCACCACATTCGAAATAGAGAAAACTTCCACAACATTTTTAGTGCCATTACTACAAAGAATATTCACAATTAAAGTTCATCTCAACAAAAGATAAGATAGAATCGCCTTACTAAAATGATATTTGCACAAGAAGCTGCTACGGGCTATGATTAACTGTTTTTTCTTCATGAACCTGACGCGGTTACTACTACTATAAATACAACACATTCCTAAGAAATACGCTGGTTGGAAGAATGAAGACCCAACTGTTCAAGACTTTCAAGGAAACATTAAGGCTTTTAAACATCGTAAACGTAAAATCAAAAAAGGTTGTTAACTTTATCTCCTTTGCCTTTGATTGCAAAGGTGACCCTAAGTTATACTATTGTAGAGAATACCAAACTGATCTATCTATCTGATCCTAACGTGAAAATAAAAATTACACTAAACAAAGTCTACAACAAATTTATTACAACACTGTAATGAAATGATTAACAGATTTTTACAACTCTTTACAGAACCCATTATAATTGAAAACATCACCCCATTGATTAATTCTGACACTCAATATGCGATTTCAGACCGAGACAAGAATCTCTTGACCTATTTTTATGGTGTACTCCTCCACTGGATGATGATGCTAATATAATCAAAGCTACAGATCTCAACATGGATATTGACCAAACTGCGTCGTCTTCAACACCAAGTAAATTTCCTTATGTTCCGCAATGCCAGAACATTATTAGACATAATTTTAAACAATACCAGACCTCACTAATATATACCTGACAGTTATACGTATAGCACCTCAGTGAAAGAAAAATACGGATCAGCTTAGATAGCTTTTTTAATTTTTTCTCTGTTAGAACAGGCCAAGACTCAAGTTCTTAAAATAAAAGGTGGCCGGCTCCCTAGTTTTCTTTGGGTTTCCATGTATTTTGTTTAAATAGATTTGTATTTAAATAAAAGTTAAAATAAAGATTAAACTTTGTTAATTGTTACTAATAAATTCCAAGTAACTCTCGATTGAGTTGCAAAATTTATCTTTTTGAAAGTTGTTTATACATTTTAACATTAATTATTCTACTATCAGTTGACGTAATACTTACTGTATATCTAAACAATATATTTATTTACACTTACCAATATAATTGGTGTAACATCTTTTGAATGTCTTGCATTATATACCAATCAGATAATATTGGATTGAAGTAATAGATCTGTAGTAAGATTTACTAAGTCTTGCTCAATAGTTGAAAACTGATCATCTTTACCAGTCCGAAATACATCTGTAATTGTAAATTTTCATTTTCCAAGACTCCTTTATATGTTCAGTTACTGATATAGTATAAGCATCTTTAAAAGGCTTTGAAGTGGATGGGTTTCATAATTTTAATAGGAATACTATGACTCTTTACTGTCTGAAGTAAAAGTTGGTTATATAATAATCAAATATTTTCAATTATATGTTCAGTTCAAAAATTAGGATTCTTTAAAATGTATATAAGATCGTATGCCAAATGATTAATTAGTAAGTTAATAGCAAGAAGTAATTTCGTAAAAAAAATCAAACAGACCATGTTTAACTTACATATCATGTTTTTAGTAATCAAAACAGCATCATTTTTGTAAAATTCTAGAGATTCAAATTTTGTTTTGCCTTCTATTATCTCTTGAATAACCTCTATATTATTTATTTTTCACTATCAGTTAACAATTTTTTTGTTAGTTTCATCTAAAATAAAATCTGCATCTGACTATTCACTATTATTCAATTCATCTGAAGACAGTAAAATCAGATTCAAATTGTTCTAAGGTTTCGTATTCTTGATTATGATTTAATAAACCATCCTGTAAATCTTCGCTGCTATCATTTTTATTACTATGTAATAAAGCAGTATATTGTGGTTGTAAGCTTTATACTGCTTTTTGTATATTATTATTAGTAATTTTGAATGTTTCACATATTCGCAACGAAATTTTTTGTTTTTTGTTTAGATTGTTTAGAATTTATTTGCTTCATTACAATTTTTTAAACAAGTTGTACTTAGTGTTTCGATCCGGGTAGAAACCGTTACCCGGATAAATTAAAAAAATTATCCGGTTTTTATCCGGATTATCCGCCTCGGATAAAAATCCGGATATATCCGGATAGAAACCGAAATCCGGATAGAATTAATATTAATTTTTTTTATAGATTGGGAAATTCATGGCATATATTAAATAAAATTCATGGTATAAGTTTAATTAAGTTCCATAGTAACAAATTTGATTAAATTGGTGGCGTTTATTTAATTAAATCGTAGATCTTAAATTAAGGTTAGAAACTCTAATTTCGGCCGGCACTATGAATTTTGCCCAAATTATGCTGTAGGTTTGATTTTCCGAAATTTTTTAGAAAATGTGAACTTTTTTTTTTGTCCGTGATCATCAAGATTGTTGCATGCTTTTAGTGCACAAAATGGCTTAATATCAATAAGTCAAAATAATAAACCGAATTTTAGAATTGAAACTTAAGAAATGAATAATAATAACGATTGATTGACTCTAAAAATCAATTCTTATTTTGGGAATTGATTTCAATCCTTCACTGAATAAAAATTTAGAAAGAAAACTAATTTAAACATTTAAGAAAAACTTTTTTTTATTTTCATTATCCGGATTCCGGGTCAAAACCGGATATTTTTTAACCGGATATTTATCCGGGTAAAAACCGCGATTATCCGGATATCCGAAAAATAAAATTATCCGGGTTCAACCGGTTGGACCCGAATACGGATCGAAACACTAGTTGTACTAAATTCTACGAAACTAATAACGAAATTGATGAAAGTTCTCATCAATAAATAATGTCATGTGTTATCATTTAAACTCAAAATAGTATAATATTTAAATAAATGAAAAAAAGGCAACGTCATTTGCTGATTTTTTCACACGTTCGAAATGTATGACAGGTTACGCAGAAATACCAAATTATCTATGAATTTCACAGCTCCCCATGAATGATGGACTCTTGTTTAATAATTATTGTCTATCCAAATTAAGTAGTGATCTGATATTTCGTTGTAGTTCCATTGCCGTATATACTTTCATATCAACCACTTGCTTTCATCATATTTAATGTTAAACTGATGAGCTCTGGTTGTTGTGACATATATAGAAGACTTCAAGTTCAGTTTTTAAATGGACCAATATCAGTAGTATTTGTTATTGATAGTACTCTTAGATAAAACATGAAATATATTTTGCAGACTATCAGTGTTTTCGGGTGAATCATAATGTAATTCATTTTATGAGTCATTTGTATCTTCAGGTGAATTATCATTGTTAATATTCTCTGGTAAATCATTTCAGGTGTAGGTGCACGTAATGTCGTAATGTAGAGTGAGGTGCTTAGTGTATGTGTAGTTGATAATACATCTAAATAATGGTAAAATTAATACATATAGTTAAAATGAAACAATTGAGATTTCAGATTTACATACCATCATCACTGCTATTGTCCAAATTAGAGTTAGTAACTTCGTTAGAATCAACATTTATGTATTTTTGATGGCGCCTTTTTATTTTTTTTAATAGTATTTGCATTTGTGCTTCGTAATAATTCAGTTTGACTTGTTATTGTTTTTCGTTTCTTTGTTTCAATAGAATTTATCCCAGATTCTTTATCTGTATTTGGTAATTCGTATTCCTCATTCGTATTGTTATTTTTAGCTAAAAATCATAGAAAAAGCGTAAATATTACAACTTGCAAGTCGAAAAATACATAAAGGCATCTTATTTACATTTCCCAGCTTCTCCTCTTCCTCTTCCTCTGCTTCTGTCTCTTTCTGGTTCTTGTCCTCCTTTGAGTCCTTTCCTTCCTTGTGTTTAATTTTTTTAATATTATAAAATAAATTCGTTATCAAGAAAAAGTATAATTATTGAATAAAGAATTATTTGTTTTGTTAGCTAGATAGGTTGTTTAATAACTCATGTGTGCGTCGCGTAACGTTGAATCACGTGATTCAAGAAACTTGGTTAGAAAAAAATTTATTATACAAAAAAAAGGTTATTCGCTATAATGTTGCCTGCTTTACAAAAAATAAATAAATAAATAAATAAAAGGTTATTTAGTTATTTGATATAGTTTCATGAAGTTTATCAAATGAAAATCCTTTTGACTTCGTATTAATGGTTACTGACGATCATTTAGTATAGTCACTACGGCACTACGCAATTGAAATTTGATATTAAAAAAATATTTGTTTATCATACCATTTTTAACTGGAAAGCTTAAATAAAAAATAATATCTACAGTACCATCTAACAACGCAGTCACAACATGAATTATGCTACGTATGCTATGTATATAATACCAATAATATAAGCCTAAGTTTTGACCTAAGCAAATTAAATATGGCTTATTTACTGATTTTCAGGCTTACTCGACTACGTGAATTATATCAAGTACTTTACCACAATATTCGTTGGGGAAAAAAAGGTGATAATTATTTCATGTTATATTTTTCAATTCTTATAAATACTTCAAATTTTCACAAATCAAAGTATAACATTTTACAATATCTTAAATAAACTTTTTAAAACTAATTGAAAAATATGAATATCAAAACTTTTTGCTATTTTCGTGATCACCATTTCAATTAGCTCTACCTCGGTATCAGGTAATAGTTAAATGAAGTTTATTTTATTTATCGAATAATTTAACTTATATTTATTAAAACTATGATTTTTAAGCACAACGTTGTCCTCCTGGATGTTTACCTATTAAAATTCCAAGTGGCTGCTATTGTGATAAATAGGTTAAGTATCATTAGTTTTAATTTACTTTTAATTGAAAAATTTATAAAACTATACCGCAATTTTTTCTTATTAGTTGGTGTCGCACAAAAAACGATTTTTATTAAGCAATATGTGTTGAGAAGAACCATGTTACAATAAATTTTTCACACTTAACTTTTAAATCCTCTAGTTTTCTTAATTAGTAAATGTCAACAGTTGTAATTTGTAAATATAAATAACTTATGCAGAACAGCGAAACAAAATTATCCTAAATAAAATAAACTTAATCGAAATTCCATCATTACAACTAAACTTTTGTAATATTATAAAGAGTCATTAATATTTTCATTTAAAAAAATGACAGGCAAAAAAATTAACCGCATGACATATAAAAAATGATCGATATCATTAACCTATTTAGAGATTTTGAAACTTTGTAATTTAACACGTTTTTTGCAAAAGAGAAAACTTTTTTATCGAAAATGTTATTGTTGATCTGTTTCGTAATCTACTCTCGATATTTTCTGTTGTATCATAGATCCAATTATTAAAATAAAAAATTTTGTTCGACATTTATATAAATAATTTGAATTGTGTATCATGAAACCAGCGCCCACATTACTATATAATTCATGTTACCCTATATTTGAGATCCTTAAAAAAAAGTAATTATAATTCTACAAAAATTCTTCTCTTAGATATAACTTTTTTTAGTAGAAATAATAAATTAAATGGTTTCTCATAACGTTGTTTATTTAAAATAAATTCAATTGTAAATATACAATCATTTAAAAATTTAGATTTTTGTTTTATCAAATTAAAATATTAATCCACTATTTATTAATTATAACTATCAAATTTGTTAAAACACAATTTGTATTCGCTGAAAAAAAAAAATGGGAATTGCTAAACATCGTCGGGTCTTCGATCACGTGGCAGATTTGATATTTTTGATTGGCCACATGATCACGTTGTTTATCGAATCTCGTTTTTCAGTATAGGTAGGTATTTTTCTTTTTTTCTTTTATTTTTATTTCTAACTTACATTTTTACACTTTGTTTCTTATGTCCTAAGGTTCAGTTGTTTTCCACTTTACGTTTAATTTCTTGCTCATTTATTTTTATTTTTTTTTTATTTTGTTTCTGTTTCATATTTCGGTTTTCTCTAATTTTATTTCTTTTTTTTAGATCTTTTAGTTCTTTCGGTTCTACAATTAATAAAGGTATATTTTTCATTTTTATTTATTTTTTTATTTTGTTCTATCTTATATTTCGTTTCTTACTAACTTCATTTTTTTTTTATTTCATGCTTTTATTTTTTACTTGGTTTCCTATCATTATTTTTTGTTACCCAACCTCCTATCATGATCGTTTTTTTATTTTTTGTCTCATCATTTTTCACCTCCTATTGCTTCTCGTTATTCCATCCTTTTCGTCTCCCATCATTTTCTATTACATCTTTTCATTTTCCATTATCTCTTTTTCTCTCCTATTTACTACCCATCATTTCTTTTCGTCTCTCATCACTCCTTTTCGTCTCCTATCACTCCTCTTCATCTTCCCATCACTTCTTTTGTCTTCCAACACTTCTTTTCGTCTCCCATCACTCCTTTTCGTCTCCCATAACTCCTCTTCATCTACCCATCACTTCTTTTTGTCTCCCATCACTCCTTTTCGTCTCCCATCACTCCCTTTCGTCTCTCATCACTCCCTTTCGCCTCTCATCACCCCTTTTCGTCTCCTATCACTTCTTTTCGTCTCCCATCATTCTTTATCATCTCCTATCACCCTTTTATGTCTCTCATCGCTTCTTTTCATATTCCATCACTCCTCTTTCATCTCCCATCACTTCTTTCATCTCCCATCATGTTCCATTTCTCCTTTTTGTTTCCTATCACTTTCCATTACTCTTTTTTTACTCCTTTTCATCTTCTATTACTTTCCATTACTCCATTGTTATTTCATTTTTTTTTTAACAAATAAAGAGCAGAAAGAAAATTTTTCGATTAGAAAATTCACAAAAGTTCATTATATTTATTATTTAGATGGAATAAATGGAATAAATGTTACAAACAATAAACTCATAATTCATGCGTGTAACCCAATATACATGATGTACAAATTTTAAAAAACGTAATATGCGTTATAACATAAATATTCTTCTCAATTTACTTATCTTTATTTGTATCACTTCATTAAAAATAAATACAGTGATTTTTTCTTTAAATCGTAAATATGTAACTTAAATTTTAATATTTGAAATAAAATTTCATTAGGTAAAGATTATTTTGAATAAATATGGTTGCAAAAAAAAAATTTTTTTTTTTTAAAATGTCTTTTGCGATAAAATTTTAAGTTTAGCTGATCAAAATAAAAAATCAGCCGTCAGCCGATGATATATTGTACATCATGTGACATATTCAAAAAAGAAAACCCAGGCGGTGATCGCCCAGGCGACGTTTAGCAATTCCCAAAAAAATCATTAGTTTTAATTCTTTTTTTATGGTTATGAGGCGCAAAATATTATGCCTCAAGATCACAAAATTTACGTGAAGTTTCGATCACCAATTCACATTTACTAATTTATCTCGGAGTAACGAAATTGAAACATAATTCTTTCTTTCCTTTTAATTTATTAATTACATTATGTTCACCCTTCAATATAAATTAATTCATGCAACAAATAATAGAGTAATATTTACAATGATATACACAAACAGTCCTTGCTAATAAATTCTTACAAATTATGAAAATCTTAAGCAATAATATTATTAACTAAAAATTATGATCGAGATAAAGTTATTATTAATTCAGGAACAAAAAGAATTTGTGAAAATTGTAACCATGAATGCTTAGCCACATTATATTGTCTGAAATTATTTAAAAGAAAATTTTTAAATTGGACATCTTAAAAATGATGATATTGATAATTTAATACAGAAATATCAAATGGAATCACTCATGCTAAATATAGTGGTTTCATGTAGTAATTTAGAAAATATTAAATATTTAACAAAAGGTGGATTCTTAGTACTTGTTTGTAAAAATAAAAGTGTTACAAAATAAATAAGTAGCGTCATAAAAAAAATATGCAAATCGTGACTTTATCAGTATTACAACTAGTATAACAACTAGTTACCCACTAGTTATTAAACATGGGAAATCTTACCACACTACCCTGTCACAATATAAATAGTACTTTAAACGTGGTAATACAGGTTGTTTCTGAGGGGGTTTACTAGTCTGATCTCTAATTGTCATGTCATAAAAAACGTAAAACAAGTCATCACGTGACGATGTAACAAAACATCACGGGTTGTGTGGTAAGATTTTCCTTAAATATGTTACACACAATAATTGTGCGACAATATCGGAAATCAAATTATATAAATTATCCGGTCGTAAAATGTGATACACAAATACCTCTTCGCTTAAAATGTCATGTTCGAAACTAGGAAACTTACCTGAATTAACTTATGAAGTTATAAAATATTTTCAGAATGATTATTCAACCTTACATTCATGTGTTTTAGTTAACAGATTATGGTGCCGTTTATCGATTCCATTATTATGGGAAAATCCATTTTCAATTCCTACTGGAAATTATAGCTTTATTGAAATTTACCTACAAAATTTAAATGGTGAATTAAAAACAAAATTTAATGAACATAAAAATAATGAAATTCTGTTACTTTCAAACACAATTTTCAATTATCCTAGTTTTATAAAATATTTGGATTTGTCGAAGTTCTCTAATTCTGTTCGAAGGTGGTTTAATACTGCTAAAATTAAAAATTTAGAATTGGTAGAAGATACTAAAAAACTAATTACTATATCATTATTAAAAATATTTATTGAAAATGAAGTAAATTTACATACCCTTGAAATTAAGATAGTAGATGATTATATGACATATCTTAAAGATATTCTTGAGTTAACTTTACAAAATCCAAATTTCATTCGCAATACTAAAAATTTAAAACTTTCTATTTTAACAATATTTAGGAATAATAATAGTATGCTAATTGACAATCTTGTATTACAAGTAATTAATTTACATCAAAATCTTAAAAAATTTATGTTAAGTTATGATAATTTTCCTTTCTATCAATCTTTATTATTATCAAAAGATCATAATTGTTCAAATACTTTAAATACTATCACATTATACCAAGTTAATTTTAGCGGTTTAAATAAAATTTTTGAACAATTAAACGTTTTAGAATCTGTTCATATAATTCATTGTGAGAATTTAAATACTAGTTTAATTCAACAAATTCTTAATTTAACCAAACCATTTAAATTAAAATCCTTATTCATAAATACAATATCAAAAATTGATGAATCATTATTATTATTATTACAAAAATCTGGTGGTTATTTAAAGAATTTCAGTGTCAAATATTTAACGTATTTCGGGAGCGAACTAGCACAACAAATACTTGAATTAGTTATAAAATATTGTAAAAACATCGAATTTCTTGATATTTATGGAATCACAAATCAGACTGTTTATCCAGTAATCAATTTGATTGAAAATATAAAACAAAATCTTAATTGTCTTTCCATCAACTGCGGAGAATCTAATTTTAGTAATAATAGTTCAATTTTATTACAAAATTTAGGACAAATCCTTCCTTCTAAATTAGAATATTTAGATTTGACTCTCCGCATTGAAGTAAGTGATTTTAAAGTATTCCTAAAAAATTCCCAAGGTACTTTTATTAAGAAATTGTTAATTAGAGATTTAAAACAGAAAGTTAATTATGATCTTTTACCTTATTTAAAAAAAAATATAATGAAGGAGAAAAGAGTCAGGTATTTGAATTTTAGGAATCTTCATAAGGAATTGTTTGATTATAGAGATATAGTTAGGGAATTTAAGTCACATAATATTAGAGTTCAAAAATACAATAATTTACACTTCGACATTTATCAATTTATACTGAAACTTGATTAATTATTTAATTCTCATTTAAAAATATTACATAAATAAAGCTTCTTTATTATGTTTATTATTCTAGTTAAAAATATGATGTTTATATAATTATTATTAACAACTTTATTAAGATCCAATTATTAAAATAAAAAATTTGTCTGACATCTATATAAATAATTTGAATTGTGCAACATAAGACCAATGCCCCCACATTATGTAATTTATTTATGAAGTAATGATTTCTTTCATTTATTCAATTTTACTTTTTTTTTATTAAACCATATATTTTATTCAGCCTATATTTGATCGATTTTTAAAAATAACTACAAATTAATAGTCTAGTAAATATACAATCATTTGAAAGTTTGGACTTTTGTTTTTAAACATAATTCTTTCTTTCCTTTTAATTTATTAATTACATTATGTCTACCCTTCAATATAAATTAATTCATGCAATAAATAATAGGGTAACATTTACAATAATACAACAAACAATTTGACAAACAAGCAGTCCTTGCTAATAAAATTCTTACAATTTACAAATGATGAAAGATTTTAAGCAAGATTATTAACTGAACATTATGATCGAAATAAAGTTATTTTTAATCCAGGAATAAAAAGTAAGACCACAAATCACAATAGAAATGGAATTAAGTATGGCAAGACTAAACTATCAGGCCATGGATGGTCAAAATGTCACATTATGTCTGACATTTTACCTGTTCATGCTTGATGTTCATCTGTCCGTGTTTGATGTTTATCTGTCATGTGATTGATAGTTTAACTTCCCTTGTCGGACCATTTTCTGAATACCATTTTCCTGAATATACCTTTTCCTGAATCCAATTTTCTGTATGCCTATTTCCAGAAATTGATCATTTCCTGAAACTCCATTTTACCGGATGCCAATTTCCCGAATCTCAATTTCTGGAATTATATGAAACATCCAATTTCCCGAATTCTTTTATCCTGAATTATTTTATCCCAAATTCCAATATCATGAACCCTGATATTCTGAATGGATATTTTACTGAATTTAATATTATTTTGTATAATTTTACATCATAAATTAGAATTATTAATTTCATAAACTCAACCTTTATTTTATTTATTATATCGTACTAATCAATAAATTATATATAATGCATATAATATAATATGTAATAAACAACTTGTATTAAAACAAATACTTAAAATAAATAATGCAAAATCAATCAAAGTATCTGTTTGAAATTTGTACCTGTACCAAATCTTTTTCTCCTAAAATGCAAATTGATTATATTTACTTGATTATTATCAAGCACTTAAACTCAGTGGGTCAGAGAAAAATTTTGTTAGCTAAAAATGTAATATTTCCTAATTGATTGTATATTGCATTATGTTTATTCATATTTACTTCAATTGATCGTAATACTTGTACAGGTAAGGGATGCTTGAAAAAGCCACTCCCCAAATTACATATAACATGTTGGCGTTTATACAATTATAGCAGAGATGCGCAAAGAGCAACATCAAACTCATTTGCTAGCAGAAAGTATTCTTCGTGGAGAACCTTTACCATACAAACGCAAGCATCTAATAGATTGTGAAAATCGAATTTTAACAGTTAATAATCAGTACTTTAAAAAATTTTTACAATTGTTAACATTATATCTGCTTATAAATACTGTGTATTTGAACAATAAAACTTATAGTTATCAATAGTTCTTTATTTTTTAAATTTAGTATATAGTTTATTATAAATCATACGAAAATATACAGTTTATTATATAATTCAAGAAATTGTACATTCGGAATATTAGAATTCGGAATATTAGGATTAAGGATATTTGAATTCGGGATATTGGGATTCAGGATATTGGGATTTAGGATTCGGGAAATTAGACTTCAGGAAATGGGATTCGGGAAATAAGGATTCGGGAAATTGTATATTTCAGGAAAATGTTCAGTTCAAAAAATTGGCATTCAGGCAAATGACTTCGGGAAAAGATATATTCAGGAAAAGGCATTCGGGAAATCGTACTGCAACCTTTAACTTGTTATTGCTTGATATTTACGTGTTTGTGCTTGATATTTGGTCCATCTGTAAAAATATCAGGCATGAATAGATAAAATATAAGGCATAAACAGATAAACATCAAGCACGAACAGCTAAAATATCAAGCACGGCCCTATAAAAAATTTTTATCCGAATATTTCCATTATTTCTCCGTGTCTTCCGTAAAAATTCCGTGAAAATGATACATTCACGGATATCCGTGTTAGCGAGATGAAAATTTCCATGATTTAAGGCTATTAATTCCATGAAAATGATACATTCACGGAAAAAACATGGAAAGATAAAACACGGATCAGATTTTTTACAGGGCGGACAGATAAAACATCAAGCATGTTATAGATAAACATCAAGCATGACATGACAGATGAATATCAAGTATGGACAGATAAAATGTCAAGTACGGACAGATGAACATCAAGCATGAACATGTAAAATGTCAATCCATGCCGCTCAATGCCTAATAGGTTAGTCCAACTCGGCTGCCATAACTAAGGAGTGATGCTCATTGTGACAATGGCATCGGAATTTAAGAATTTAGGAATTTATATTATTAACAATTAAAGTTAATTTTGGAATATAAGAATGTTATATAGACATTACAAGTGGTCAAATAATAATGTTCAAATAGGGAATTTAATTATGAATAATGAAGATAGATCGTTCAGATATATATTAATAAGGGATACAGAACTACGTGGGAACTGAAAAGTTATAAAAAGAGTGAATTTTGGAATTAAAAATGGGCGTAATATTTTATTAGCATATGGGGAAATAATCGATAAATATTAGTAAGTTGGAAAATTAGGAATATTGTAATAATGATTTTATGGTTCCGATATATTATTTTATTAATGAATATATGAAAGTTGCAAATCGAAATAAGATTGACTTAGGGAAAATTATCGCAGTTTGGAAGTTATAATTAGGATTTGGAATTGTATTAAGATAATAGAAATTTGGATTACGAAATATTAATATTTTTATTAGTTTATTTTAGTATTATTATATTTTATTTAGAACGAAGCATGAACTCGGGATATTAATACCCTATAAAAAAACTGGATACGTTTTTTATAAAGTTTTTATAAGATTTTTTTTCCTTAGAAATAACGTATCATGAGAGGATACGGAAAAATGCACAATTCCGTATCACAAAAACGTATCATTTGCACGATTTTATCACGGAATTTACACTGATTTTGTTACTGAATTTACATGGTTTAGTCACAAAATTTATAATGATTTGGTCACTGAATTTATTGCTTAAATTACTATTATTTACTAGTGCTTTATTAAATAAAATAAAAATAAAATAAAATACAAATATGAAACATTCCCTCACAAAAATCTTTATTAAAATAAAAATGCCATGCATACCAACGTTTCTATAAGATATTTGAAGTAGTCCTAAGGAAAAACCTGTTCTTACAAAATATACAAAAAAAAAAAATGTTAACATATTACTTTGATGCAAATAAAAACCCAATTTAAAGTCCAACTTCCCTTATAAAATTAGACCTAGGTTCGACTTTTCAGGAGTCTGACGACCTGAAAAACAAAATAAAGAATGTTACTTTTACTCAAACTCCTTCCTATATAGTACCTACAGTATCCCAGGCTCATCTAAGTCTCCAAAATCCAGCAACCTAAAAAAAAGAAGAAATGTCACTACATTTCTAATTAATATCAATTCCCTCTATTTAATATATACAGAAAGTCTGGGTCTCCAAGAGGCAACATTCCTATAAAAAAGAAGCTTAGTGTCATAAAAAAAGAAGTCCTAGCGTCCTACACGTCATCCTACAAGAAAAGAAATCAAACCGCCCTACAAAAAAAAGAGGGAAACCAAAAAATCCTAAAAATTGTAAAAAAATTTTTAAAAAACTTTTAAAAAGGAAGTAGACAATAACAATAAGGTGGAAATAAATTAGAAATTTTTTTTTTTTAAAAAAAAACCAAAGGGAACGAAGTGATATAAAAAAAAAATAATTTTTTAAAAAAGAGGGAATGAGGTGGAATCTATAAGAAAAAATTATTTTTTTTAAAACAAAAGCACGAAGTGGAATAAAAAAAGGAGTGAGATAAAAAAGAAGAAAAAAAGAAGTGGGGAAATATAAAAAAAAAGGAAGAAAAGAAAAAGGGGGGAAAGCAGGAATAATAAAAAAAAAGATCGGTGATCTAAATAAATAAAAAACGTATCACAGATCATAACAATAAACAATCACGTGGTCACATGTTATGATACGGAAAGTATACGGAATGGAAATGCGGAATAATAAAATTATTAAGTTTAAAAATTCAGTATAAATTCCGTATACACAATATTCATTCCGTATACATTAATTTTTTAAAAAATCTTCAAAAATGAATTACTTATGAAATATACAGTCAAACCTCGATATAACGAACTCGCGGTTCAAGGGCAAAAGTTCGTTATATAGTAGAAGTTCGGTATGTAAATTTTTTTTGTGTACCGAACTCCATAAGTTTTACAGTAGCAGTTCGGTATATAAAGTTATCACGTGATTAAAGAATATTAATTTTGGCCAGAAATTAAGATTTAACAGTATAAATTATGTGAAATTTCAACCACGTGATCAAGTTCGGTATATAAAGAATTTTTTTTATATGCTTTATTATAAACGGTAAATCATAAAAGTTCGGTATACGTTATATCGAGTTTATATGAAATTCGGTATATCGAGATTTTTTTAAATAATATGAACCCAGTTTTTAAAAAAAAGTTCGGTAAGTCAAGAGTTCGTTATATCGTGGGTTCGTTATATCGAGGTCAGACTGTACGGAATTGTGATACGGAATTTTTAAACCCATATATAAAATGTATACAAAACGTATCATTTCCGTATATAAATTTTTTATAGGGATAGGATATTATGTATTTTGTTATGAATAAAGTTATCAATGTTCAAGGACGTGGTGTAAATGTATATTAACACGGGCGTGTCCTTACAACTGATAAAATTTAGTACTAGTACGAATTTGAAAATCTGTACAATACGATATTCTGCAATCACGAATGAATATGAATAAAATTTGTGACTCCTCGGATGATGAACCGAAGAAAAGTAGAAAAAGAACAAACGAAAAAAGGTAGTTTGCTTTTCCCTCAGTTTCCAATTTGACTTAGGCGGATATAATTTTCTTGTGATTTTTAGAATACTAGGGTGGCGGATTTAAATCACGTGACTTGTTTTTTTTTACTTGACGAATGAAATTATGTAATTTGTAATTAATTGTGGATTTTTATTTTAGGTTTTAATTATTTTAAGCCTTATAATTCGTTAGCGGAAGTGTATATAAAATTTTTTTTTTTTCCATAGAATACTCAGTTTGTTTGTTGGTTTTATGCGTTAGTTTATGATCTATGTAATTCTTATAATTCATTTACTCTAATAAAAGATTAAGACTGAAATAACAAGCATATGGAAAAACAATAAATTTCATAAAACCATTTTCTGTTGTACCAAAGCAAAACAACTAACTGTAACTTTTCTAAAATTATTAATAAACAAGAGGTCATTTTCATGGGGGAGTTTGACATAGTACTTTTAAAAGATCTTTTGAAAGTTATTGTAAAAAAAAATGACTTCAATTTATAAATATACAAATTGTTGATCTCTTCTTTAACAAAAGGGAGAAATATGGCATGATGGTAGATGAGTGATGGGAGACGAAAAGGAGTGATAAGAAGATGAAGAGGAGTGATGGGAGACGAAAAGGAGTGATGAGAAGATGAAGAGGAGTGATGGGGACAAAAAAGAATGATGGAGGACGAGAAGGAATGATGGGAGACGAAAAGAAGTGATGGGAGACGAAAAGGAGCGATAGGAGACGAAAAGGAGTGATGGGATACGAAAATGAGTGATGAGAAGATAAAGAGGTGTTAAAATTAGAGATTTATTTTTAGCAATATGTGAAAATTTAAGGGGCAGAATAATAGATTAAATCTAGTACAATATAATGTTGTGATTTACTAAAATTAGTAGAAATATGTGATTAATTAAATGTTAAGATGTGTTTTATTTCTTCAAATATTGTAGTACAGAATTTTGAATTGGAAATTTATGAGAACACAAATTTTAAGGTGGAGGAAAGTTTGTAGTGCCATAACCATAGGGTAATAATTTTTTACTTTGGATTTTGGAAATCAGAATAAACTGGAATTATAGTGATCGTATATATTTTGTGTAATATTAATAGTCTGAAGTAATTTGGGTCAGAAGTGAAGATTATTTCAATAATAATAATGATATAATTGTTTATGTTGATCAAAGAATCAACATAGAAATTATTATATAAACCCAACTTTTTGACTTAGTTTAAGAGTTCTTTTTTTTAAAAACAGTTCTTTTAAATTTTTTCTTTTGAACAGTTCTTTTTGAGTCCTTTTACTTCTAATCTTTAGTTCTTTTAATTTTATAATTATTTTATAATATTTATAACTGTGTTATAATTACATATCCTTATATAATAAAGAATAAACTTTTTATTAAATTATAAATTTTATGACTGTATGAAATGAATAAAAATCTTGTAGTGTATAGAGTGGCAGAAGCTGTCATTAGAGTATGTATAAAATAAAATTTTATGGAGTTTTATAATAACTCAGTTTTCAATTTAAAAATTAAAGTGCGGGCATTACTACTGTGCATAATTTTATGAGGTATGCTGGCCAAAATTAATTCTTTGATTGAATAATTCTCATTTTCTAAAGAAAAAGTGGCTGATTACTAAAAGATAACTGGTGGGTTAATAAAAAATTTTCTGATTCATCATACAAAACTCTATAATTTGATGGCTAAATTTAACGTAACATGAAAGTGCCACAGGAAAACAGGAAATTCAAAATTGCGATTTTGCCCCCTGGATACTTGTACTGTACTGTTCTGTACTGTACTGTTCTAGTACTATATTAGTACTATAAAACTTTCAGTAAAAAATTGATAAAGATCATGCCCATATTTTTAATAATGACAATGTAACCTTGGCCGATCAATTTTTTAGGTAAAAAATAAGGATGAGCAAAATTATGTTCCAAAATCCATTGAAAAAACAAAATTATTTTTTAAATATGTTAATTATTATTCCAGTAAACATTATAGTGGTGTTAATTTACAGAAAGTGAAAATATTGTAATAATTAAAAATGATTGATATTATAATATTTATTATTTAATTATAAATTTAAGAAATTTAAGGAATGAAAATTGAAATTAATAATGATGAAATTATTAAAATTTTCTAGTGAAAGCTGATGTGCAGTCATCAGGTATGACTTTATTTATGTATTTAAATCACAACAATTTATCTAACATTGAATAATTAGTTAATCAAGATTTCTTTATAAATTGATAAAGTATTAATATATAAATCATATCTTTGAACTATAATATTATAAAGCTTAAATTCCTTAATTAAATCTTTCAAATCAAACAAATCATTATTTATAAAATCCCTAAAACTCAAATACCTGATTCTTTTGTTATACTTAGTATAATCTTTTATACAAAATAATATGTCATAATAATTATCTACGTGTATCATATTTTTAATTAATAACTTACTAATAAAAGTATTCTGAATATTTTCTAAGAATATTTTAAAATCACTTACTGCAATGTTAAGGATTAAATTTAAATATTCTAATTCAAGAGGAAGAATTTGACCTAAATTTCTTAATATAGTTGAACTACTTCTAATACCACTAATACTTTCATCAAATGAATGAATAGAAAGATAATTAAGATTTTGTTTTATATTTTCAATTAAATTGAGTACTGAAGAGATTATGTGATATCTAGATGTATATAAATAAAGATTTTTAATATTTCCACAATATTTTTCAATTAATTCTATTAATTGTTGATTAATATCAAACTTGAGATATTCAAAACTCTCTAAATAAACACCAGATTTTTGTAATAATAATTCTAATGAATTAATTTGTAATATTTCACTTTTTTCTATAAATAAAGTTTTCAATAAGAATGGTTTAGTTAGATTAATAATTTGTTGAATAAAGCTACTTTTTAAAAACAACAATAAATTATATGAACAGATTTTAAAACATTTAATTGTTCAAATACTTTGTCTAAGTTGGTAATACTATTAAGGTTTACACGAAAGAATATGATAGTATTTAAGGTATTTGAACAATTATAATCTTTTGATAATAATAATGATTTATATAAAGGAAAACTTTCAGTTCTGAATGTAATGGTTTTAAGATTGGAGCGTAAATTAATTATTTGTAATAGAAGATCTTTAATCAACATATATTTGTCACTATTGTTGCGATTTGAGTATCTACTAGAAGAAACACCAATAGAGAGATTTAAATTTCTAACATTGTTGATAATAAAATTTGGATTTTGTAAAATTATTTCAAAAATGTCATAATAATAGGATTTATAATTTGAAATAGAAAAGATAACAATGTCAAGAGTATGTAAATTTACTTCATTACCAATTAATATCTTAAATAGTAATGTTTGAATTAATTTTCTAAGACCAGATTCATTTCTATTTATAGGCTTTAAGATTCTAAGAACATCTTTGATCCAAATATTAATAGAAGAAATCATCTTCCATATATTCAAATATCTTATAAAACAAATATAATTAAAAAGTGTGTTTGAAGGTAACAATTTATCAATATTATATATATTTAATTTTTTTTTTAAGTCATCATCCAAATTCTGTAAATAAAATTTGATAAAATTATAATTTTTGGTACGAGTTGAAAATGGATTTTCCCATAATAATGGAATCACTGAACGACACCATTCTCTGTTAACTAAAATACATGAATGTAAAGTTGAAATATCATTTTGAAAATATTTTGTGATGTTATATATTAGTTCAGGAAAATTTCCTGAAAATACTTTTGAACATGACATATTGCAAGCAAGGAGAAGATTTATGACTGATTAAATTATATCAATTGTTTAACATGAGTAAAAATTAGACATAATAACTAATGTGGTTATGATTTATATACCAACTTAATTCCGGTCAAAAACTATATTTGGCCAGATTAAAAAAGACTTTTTTTTTTGAAGAGTAGAATATAAATAACAAATGTAAGCTCGTCCAGAATTACGACCGTCTATCGTTTAAAATGTCCTACATGTCAAATAGAACAAAATAGAAAAAAGCAAATGACGAATAATAACTAGGCTATAAGAAGTGAGTATAAAGAAGAAAAAACAGATAAAGGGAAAATAAAAAAAAGTTTTTCAAAGGGAATAATACTATAATATTTAAACTTTTCGTTGTTTCTATGTGCATACCATGAGCTTGAGTGAGGAAAATTACTCTGAAGAATGATAGTAACGGATCTGTATTGAAAGGTGGCGTAGGTGACGTAAACGAGTGAACATGGCTTAGTTTGCTTACGTGCGATTTTGAGTAGTCGAACGAAAAATTTGTTAATACTTCTTTTTATGTAATGTTGTGTGATCTTTAAAAAAATCGAAAATTCTCAACATGATTAATTAATAAAGCTTTAAAAGATTGAAATCATCGAAAAAAATTGAAAAGTGTTAAAATTATGGGTTTGTTTATTAAAAGGTCAGAGTTAAAAAACACCATCTTAAGATTAAATTAAAGTTCATGTTAATATTACCACTGATGATGAGAATATATCAATCAACCCTTTTTATTAAACTTAATTAGCAATTTAATGTATGCCAATTTTTTATACCCTTGGACCCCTCGGTACTGTATTGCAATTAATCTAACAATTAAATCACTAATATGTTACTAGTTACTAAGATTATGCATTATTATGGAATTACTGCACTATTACAGCATCGATTCATATTTTGTTGTTTCTTGCCTGCATTCTCCTTTCTTTCCACTATTATTACTCCTCTGTTTCAACAGTAAACAGAACAAAGAGTACACATATTTATATTTCTTTTATTTCTTTTATATATTCGGATTATTTATTGGTGGTGGACTATATTAAATATAATTTGAATATAATTTGCAAATTTGTCCCTAAATTTTAAATCAATGATTCATATTTTTAGATTTATATAATTGTTAATATAATTATTATTAAATACAAGTTTTAACTAGGGTAAATAAGTATATAAAAACGATTTATTTATAAAAATTATAAAGATAAATGTACATGTGTAATACTTTTAAATTATATAATTAATCAAGTTGCATAAATTGACGATCTTCGATGAAATTATTACAATATTTTTGAACTCTAATATCATACAACCTAAATTCCTTCACTTCATCATTCAAATCAAACAATTCTTTATTAAAATTCCTAAAATTCAAATACCTGACTCTTTTCTCCTTCATTATATATTTTTTTATATAAGGTAAAATATCATTATTCATTTTCCATTTTAAATCTTTAATTAACAATTCCTTAATAAAGGTACCTTTGGAGTTTTTTAGGAATACTTTAAAATCACTTGCATTAATCAAAAGATGCAATTTTAAATATTCTAATTTGGAAGGAAGGACTTGTCCTAAATTTTGTAATAATATTGAACTACCATTAGAACATCCACAGTTGATAGAAAGATAATTAAGACTATGTTTAATATTCTTAATCAAATTGAACAATAGGTAAGTATGGCTTTTAGGGTGATGAATATTATAAATATTAAGAAATTTGATATTTTTGCAATACTCTGTAATTAATTCAAGTAATTGTTGTTCATACAATGAATCATTATAATTTAATTCAATTCCAAAATTTTCTATACAATTACCATATTCATGAAATAGTAATTGTAATGATTCATTAATTTTAAGTTTCTCTTTTATAAATAAAGACTTTAATTTAAATGGTTTAGATAAATTAATAATTTGTTGAATAAAACTAGTATCAAAAGAATAACAATTAATGAAATGAACAGATTTTAAAACATTTAATTGTTCAAAAACTTTTTCTAAGTTGATTATATGTTTAAGATTAACATCGTATAATATGATAGTATTTAAAGTATTTGAACAATTATAATCTTTAAATAATGATTGGTGCAAAAGAATGCTTTTATGGCATAGCACAATTTTTTTAAGATTTTGATGTGAATTGATTAATTGCAATATACGATTATTAATTAGCGTATTATTACTAAAAAATAAAATAGAAAGTTTCAAATTTTTAATATTGTGAATGAAATTTGGATTTTGTAAAATTAATTCAAAAATATCATTAAGATACGAGATAAAATAAAAATCAGTTAAGATCTCAATTTCAAGGGTATGTAAATTTAATTCATTTTCAATAAACGTTTTAAATAGTGACGTTTGAATTAATTTTTTAAAATTAGATTCTGAATCTCTATTTTCAAGTTTTGAAGTTCTAAGAATATCTCCAGACCACTTGTCAATAAAATCAACAATCCTGCATATATTCAAACATTTTATAAAACTAAGATAATTGAAGAGTGTGTTTGAATATAATAAATTATCAATAACTTTATATTCATTCAATTTTGTTTTTAATTCATCATTTAAATTATTCAAATAAATTTCAATAAATTTATAATTTTTTGTAGGAATTGAAAATGGATTTTCCCATAATAATGGAATTGCTAAACGACACCATAATCTGTTAACTAGGATACATGAATGTAAAGTTGAAAAATCATTCTGAAAATATTTTATAATATCATGGATTAGTTCGGGTAAATCTCCTGAGAATATTTTTGAACAAGCCATTGTAAAGAGAAAGAAAAGAAAGGTATTTGTGTATCACATTTCACTACAGTATCTACCGGATAAACTATATTAATTTTCGGAACGGTGATTTCCGATATTGTCGCACAATTCATTGCTAATTAACCGTGTGTAACATGTTTAATGATTTACTTACTGTCGATGATCCAACTTAATTCTGGTCAAAATTATGGGTATATAGTAAATCAGTAAACCGTATTAATACAGTACGTAAGACACGTTAATTATGCCTACAAATAATTTGATTCAAAATAGAGGATCTTTCAAATGATCCTGTAAATTAAATAGGTAATACTAAATAATTTAATTTAACAAATTAATTTTTTAATGTTTCTTAAAATTAATGGAGCTGATTAATTTTTAAAACAAAAGAATCTTTAGAATTACCATAAAATAATATTATGTGATGCTACATGTAAATTTATATTAAATAAAATTATTATTAAAGAATTGCGAAATTATTAAATTAACATCGAAAGGGTGCATTTTCTCGAAAAAGGGTCAGATACGAACGGTCACGTGATTCCGGACGAGAAGTGCTCGACGTCATTAATGATTTCAGGAAAAAAGGAAAAACGGAGAAGTACCAGTTTCCGAAGAGGACATGAGTCTATATAATAAGGTGAATCAACCTTGTTCATCGCGTCTGCCTGAAATTAAAAAAGAAGAAATTTCAGAAGAAAAAATTGGTCACAAGCGATGTAGCAAGGAGAAATTGAGTAGGGGGTCAGTTAGTAGTGATGAAACTGATGGGAAGATTGAATCAGAAAATATTGCTACAATAGTGGCGAAAAAAGAAAAATCTGCTCAAGCAGGGAAAGGTAAAAAGGTGGGAAATCGAAGAAAAAGAATAAGAAAAAGTGATAAATTTATTAGTAAAGTATCTATCGCTAGTGATAGTAGGTATTAGAGTAGATTTTAATTAAAAATTTAAAATTAAAATTATAAATAGCTAGTACGTTTTGGTAGTTTATAGTTTGTTTAGTTTTATTTTTATTTTTATTTTTTAACAGGTTTTTAGATAGATACTTTATTAGGAGATGCATGTCGTCTAAATTATGACAAATTGTTTTGCAATAATTGTTATAATATTAATAAAGTTTTTAAAAAAATAAAAAAATAAAAAAAATTATTAAATTAAATTTTTAATTTATTGTTTATTAATAAGAAATGTTTTCGCAACATTTTTTGTTAAAATAATTAAAACCGTTTGAGAAAAACGTTTTTTTTTTATGAAATTATTAATGAAAAACGGTTTTTTTTTTTAATTAAAAAATATTGCGTAATTTAAAGGTTCTAAAATCATGGGGACTTTCTTATTTAAATTTGTCCGGTCCCGGTCCGGCCAGGTTGAAAGACCGGTCTTTTTGGACCGGACCGTACAACCAGAGTCAAAAAAAGCACGTTTTAATAAAATTAATAAAATTTATATTTATCGTATTAAAATATATATATATAGTATATGTTTTTTACATTTTATTTATTGGTTGTGTCAATAATATTACTATTGACATTAAGTTGGTTGACCCTCTTCATTAAGTAATTTAGTGTATTAAGTGAATTATTTGAACATTGGAACTTCTATGAAAATTTTTTTCTATATTCCCTCATATTGCCAACTTTTTATTTCCTATACATGGTGGTCCATGGTAATTCACCCCATTCGCCTGATCGGCAAAGGATATAACCTTATCCATCG